CACTCTCGCTCTCTCTCTCTGTTGATTCTTTGTTCAAAACAATATCAAAAGACGGTTTTGAAAATCCACAGTGATATGTTAGCCCCTGGTTGTTTTCCCACTCTACTCTCTTTTTCTTTACCAAAGATCTGACCTCTCCTACCTAGAAGGGTCTCCTTTTATTGACCATACATCTCCCTCATGGACCACTGATGACTATTACAGTGATGCCTCAATATAGCAGGCCTCTGGGAACAAAGTTCCTTTGAGCAGAATGACTCAGGTCAAGGTTGGGGTTGGTGGGAGTTAGAGTTTCTTCTTCTAAACTGGGCTAGAAATTGCAGCTGAGTGAGAAGAAGCAGAAGTTGCAGTTTTCTCTTAGAGGCCAAGGTGCAGACTGTTCGTGATGCAGGACCTCACTCTGCGTAACTCATGTGGCTAGTGTGGGAGCAAGGTATGGCCCCGGTCTCAGCTGAGGTGCTGCAAGGCCTCTGTCAGGAGACTGGTCACCCTGAGGAGGCCAGACAGCTGCAGCTTTCCTTACTTTAAGGGAAAGAAGTATACACTGGGAAAAGAATTCTTATCCCTCCTGTGTTTGTGCTCTTTCTAGTAACAAAACTTCTGACAGTGTCGCATCATTAGGGTACATTCTTTTCACTAACCGGCTTCAGTCATGGTCTGTTCAGACTAAAATTATGTTACAAGTTCTAATTGGTTTACGATAATTTGTGCTTAGTCTAAATGAATTTTGAAGTCTGCAAAATTAGGAATGAGAACTCATTTGGATTTCTGTGTTACAATAATAAGTACAACAATCATCACTCAAGGCATTTTCTAGATGACTTCGACATTGGGGTTGGAAGAAGGAACCCAGCTGCTGCCCAGGGTCTTGTTTTGGTTAAGTCTGTGGCTTTGGAGCAGTCACTGATACTGTCCACTTCTGGAAAATGGAAATAATCAACTTTTTCAGGACTACTGTCTTATTTTTAATTTGTTTTCATGTTTGAAATTTTATTTTCCTTTAAATAGAGAATTGAGGAAATTATGAAGCGGACAAGAAAGACAGATTCGAATGCCTCAAAGGTAGTCTCTGCTCCCACCAGCAGTGTATAAAATTCCTGTTGCTTTCCATTCTTGCCGACTTTTTAAGTTTTGCCAATCTGGTGGTAATGAAATAAAGTATCACATTGCATTTCCCTGATTATTAAAAGGTTGAGCATGTTTTCATGTTTTTTCTTATGCTAAATGCTTGTTTAGGTCTTTTGCATAAAACTTGGGCTGACTTGTCTTTTCTTTACTAATTTATAGTTCTTTCAGTGTTCCAGATACTACTCCTTTATTGGTCATATGTGTTAGATTGCTTCTCCCACTTTATGGCTTTGTTCTTTTTCTTAATGCTGTCTTCTGCTGGATAGAAGTTTTTCAGTTCCACACTGTTGAATTTATCAATATTTTTTATGACTAATGAAGTTGGTTGCCTTTTCGTCTGTTTATTGACCATTTGGAGATTTGGTTGGGGAAGCCCCTTTTCAAGTCCTTTGCCTGTCTTTCTGTTGGGTAGCCTGCCTTTTTCTTATTGACATGTAGGAGTTTTCACCTGCTCTGGTTATGAGCCCTTGAATATATGTATCACAGGTATCAGCTCACATACTGCAGTTTATCTCACAATCTCATAATGTCTTGTGATGAGCAGAAGTTCATTTGAATGAACTCAAATTTAGCAGTTTTTTCCTGTATGGTTACTGCTTTTGCCGTCTGTCTCATAAGGATTTGCTTACTTCAATGTCCTGTCTTTTGATGGATCACATGCATCCAAGGCCTTTTTTCTCCATCTTCTGTGTCCTTTACCCTCTGTGCTACAAAACTGATGTTTTGCCTGTTTACCATTGCCTAGTTGTAATTCCTATAGTCATGAACAATTCCTAGTTGTCATTCCTATCATCATGAAAATTTAGAATAGAAATGTCATTTCTGAAAAGTTTTGGATCTCAAAGTAAAGGATCTCAAAGATCATTTAGCCCATTGGCCTGAGAAGTTTTACCTCAAGCAGCAGCCAAAAACTGTTTTAGCTGTTCACCAGTTGGGACTCCAAGTAGGTAAAGACCACATGCCAACC